CCCAGCACAACCCGCCTGGCAAGTTCCCGGGAGGCTCCCGAGACTCTTCCAAAACGCGTCTCAGGGCACTTTCTGCTGCTCAAACTCAGCTAAGACTGGAGCACATTCAAAGTCACCTATCGAGCAAAATTGGGAACCTAAGCCAAGCAGAGGCCTGAGTATTCAGGTACCGGTGTTTGGTAGACTAAGCACGATGATCATTTGGGTTTTTTTTTAACTGGTGAAGTTAAACTAACTGACTTCAAGCTACTGAGTCCCAAATCCAGATAGCTCAATTAAAATGATTTTGCCCTAGTCTAGACAGGAGGTGATAAAGCTAGGGGAGCAATTCAAGGCCGTGGGAGGGCTGGGACTCGATTCAGGACAAGTGAGGCCTGTAGGGCTCAAAATCTGAGGAGGCACTGAAGTCACGCGAGTGCTGCCCGAGGCCTGCCTCACTCTAGTCCCGTCCTGCAGAGCTCCAGTGCCAAGCACCTCAATTATCCTCTCTGTAAAAATGGGTTGATGATAATTGTATCAACTTCTAGAAAACCCCAAATACAGAGGAAAACATGGATAAATTGGATATCATTAAAAGTAAATTCGGTTCATCAAAAGCATTATTAAGAGAATGAAAAACAATTCACCACGTAGAAGATATGTGCAATAGGTTTATCTAACAAAGAATTCATATCCAGAATACACCAAGAAGTCCTACAATGCAGTAAACAAAGAATCCAATAAAAAGCAGGAGGGAAGGAGCCAAAGACTTAGACAGCACTTCACCAAGAAGGAATCTGAAGAGCCAATAAGTATGGGAAAAGATGCTTCTTTAAACACCAGGGAAAAGCAAATTAACAAGACAATGATATACTACTAAGCACCCACTAAAATGGCTAAAGGTTTTAAAACTGACAATACAAAGCAAAGGCAAAGTTGTGGAGCGCATGGAACTCTTATGCACTGTTGGTGGGAGTGTAATTGTTACAACCACTTTGGAAAGCTGTGTATCACCATCTAATAGAGCTAGATATATGCACGCTTTACGGCACACAAATCCCACTCCAAGATGAAGCCATCCTAGAAAAGTCAGACACAAGCCAACCCACAAGGTGACTGCAAACAGGTGAGCAAGCCCAGGTCAGATCAGTCAAGTCTGGCCAGGTCAGCAGAACTCCCCATCTGACGTGCAGGGACAATGAATAATAAATGATTACTTTTTTTCTGTAGCTAACTGACACAGAAATTAACATGTGGAACTGGGCTGCTGCTGTAAAAAAAAAATCTAAAATATGTGGCATTGGCCTTGGGTCCAGGTGGTGGGCAAAGATGGAAAAAGCAATAAGAAAGCTACCATAGCAAACTGGACAAATGATAAATTTTATGTAGTAACAAAATATTTCATAAAAGTATCGAATTTGTATATCTGGATAAAATAATTTCTAGACAGAATGCTAAAAGGGTCAGTTTGCATATTTTAGCTCATATTATAAGGTACTACCAAAAAGAAATCAGTTAAAGGGGGGAAAAAGACCACATAATAGGCAGAAATTAGGGGGAATATAGAGGAATCAGAATTTAGCAGATTGGAAAATAAAACTGGTTCTCGTCTCCAGTCTCCCCAACCAGTAAAAGATCCTCAAGGTGAGGCTGGATGATCTTTAGGAAAGACCTCTAAAAGAGCTAAGATGGTACCTAGTGAATCTTTTCAGCCAGATGAAAGAGCCAGTAGGAATCATAAACATATCTTTCCACAGCAGCATGACGCACCCAAAGTAGCCATGATTAAGGTAGAAGAGAGGTTGTCCCAAAAAAATTATGTGTATGGCTTTTGACCAATGGAATGAACTTAAGATTCCACATAGAAAGATCACAAAGGTTTTAAAATTGTATGCGGTAAAAGTCCTCCCAACTTAGCCTAGCAAGGACTGAAATTGCTCCAATTACAAAAATGCTTCTGGGCCCCCAAGCTTCTTTGAATGAATGGATAAAGCAAATGGAGTATTACTCAACCATAAAAAATAATGAAATCTTGCCATTTGTGACAACATGGTTAGACCCTGAGGGCATTATGCTAAATGAAATAAGTCAGACAGAGAAAGACAAATACCACATGATCTCACATATATGTGGAACCTAAAAAACAACAACAAAAAGAAAACAATGAGCTCAAGATACACAGAAGAGATTGGTGTGTGAGGAGGGGGTGCACAAAATGGGTGAGGGAGTCAAAAGGTCCAAATTTCCAGTTATAGAATAAATAAATCATGGAAATATAAAGTACAGCATGGTGACTATAGTTTATACTGTATTTCATATTTCAAAGTTTCTGAAAGTAAATGTTAAACATTCTCATCATGCCCAGCCAGGTGTGACTCAGTGGTTGAGCAGTGACCTAGGATCCAGGAAATCTGTGGTTCGATTCTGGGTCAGGGCACATGCCCGGGGTTGCGGGCTTGATCCCCAGCAGGGAGCATGCAGGAGGCAGCCGATCAATGACTCCCTCATCAATAATGATTCTCTCTCCCTTCCTCTCTCTGAAATCAATAAAGATATGTTTTTTTAAAAAATTCTCATCACAAGAAAAAAATTATAAATAACTATGTATGGCGACGGATATTAACTAGACTTACTGTGCTGAACCTTTTGTAATATATGCAAGTATTGAATCATGGTGTATACCTGAAGCTAATATAAAGGTATGTCAATTATACCTCAATTTTTTTAAGAAAAGGTTATTCACAGGACTCACCTGTTGGTGGTGAGCAGGGAAGGAGTAATATCCCAAATCAAACTGAAAAAATACACCACTTCCCCTCCTTGAAACAATGCGGGGAGTGTGGTGTGGTGCAGGGGGAGTATTGCTCAGCTTTGGATTCCTTCCGCATTGTTTTAAACTTGATTTTTCCTAACACAGAAGGGCTTGTGTATGGCTTTATTCCAAGGTCCAGAAACCAGCCTTATGCATTTAACACACCTCTAGTCCTCACCCCCATTATTCGAATGAAAAGGTTGATAAAGGTTATGACTTGCCCAAAGATATTTAGTCAAAGCCCATTGGTTTTTACAACCTAAGTTTGGCTCTAAAAACCGGTGCTAAACAATGCTTTCTAACAGGATGGTTCCAATTCAGTTTTCACCTGCATGCAGCAAAACTGCATTGCTCATGCTAACTTGAATTATTTAATGTGATGTTCAAAGCAAGGGCCCCCTCTTATTCTGACACTGTGCCTTTCTTACTCTTTTGATATTAAAATGGCCTTTCTTTTGAAAAAACGATATGAACTAGTAAAGGTCGCCCCCCCCCCCGTCATAATAAAAAGCTGGAAAAAGTTTAGTTCTCCAAAAAAAGTTTTAAATATTATCTGGTCCATGAATTTCGAAAGTCAGGACCCTACCGCTGCCGACAGAGTGTGCGGGGCGAGGGGGGTGAGCGCGGGTCGCGGGTCTCCAGCCGGAGAGGACCCGGCTAGAGACGCACTCGCCGGGCGAGGGGGAACCGCGCCGCCCGGGCCGCCCGCGACCCGAGGCCTGGGGCTGGCC